CCTGTCCAGGGTGTACCCTGCCTTGCACCTGTTGCTTGCTGGACAGGCTCCAGCTCCCCCGCGACCCTGCGCTGGATGAAGAGGTTAGAGGTCGGACGGGTTCAGTGAGTGCATTCTGCAGACAAGCTGACCTTTGAAAGGCCCTCCCTTGAGATCCAGAGCCAGCGAGCCCTGCTGGGTCAGATAGCCGAACCACTCGCCCTGCTCCGCGTCTGGAAACTGCAGCACAGCGGGGAAGGCGGAAGCAGAGTTAGAAACACGCAGTTCCAAAAACTGGCAAGAAGGACAAGGAAACACCCAAGCGGGGGGGAGGTGCAGACAGACTCACGTGGCTGAAGGTGTAGTCGTACACCTGGGAGAACCTGTCCAGCAGGGCGGGGTCCCTGGTCTGGCAGTACGCCATGAGGAAGGCGATCAGAGCCTCACAGTGTGGCCACCACAGCTTCATGCTCCACTCCAGCTGCGGGACAGAGCAGGGGTCACTGGGGATGCCCGCCCCACCCGCAGGACAGCGCAGGGGTCACCGAGGACGCCCGCCCCACCTGCGGGGCAGCTTATTTCATGAATAAGTGGGTTTCTTTTGTTTAACACACCTAACTGGTGATTATCCCTTAATCCCATAATTGCATATATGTCCGACAGAATACACTAAATTCAGACTTCAAAACACAGACAAGACCCAAGGAAGCCAACGTAAAGATTTTCATTTTGCTAGCGTGCACCACAATCCGGCTCAAATAACACACAAACTGTGGAACTGCATCTAAAACCAAGAACAGGAGGCACGTCCTTACCCAAAGGGTGGTGGGAGTGTGGAACAAGCTTCCCACCCATGTTGTTGAGCCCGATATCCTGGCTTCTTTAAAGAAAGAGCTGGATCAGATCCCTGGATCAATTAACTACTATCAAACGGGCCCGACAGAGAGAATGGCCTCCCCTTGTCTGTAACGTTTCCAATGTGGAGACAGCAGCAAGTGATTCAAGCTTTCTGGCACTCCCTCTGGGCTCAGTGTGTTCCGCCCCTGTCTGCAGTGTAAATGTGCTACACCTGCGTGCCCGAGTGCAGGCGCCCCTCTGTCTCCGGGACGCACCTGCGTGGGGCAGCAGCCATCAACATCCTGGAAATACAACAGGCCCCCGTGCTGCTGGTCCCAGCCTGTCTGGAATGGAAGCAGCATGAACTTCTCCACCGCCGTCTTCTTCAGCTCCTCGTCCCCCTGGCGGACCGCGTGCTGCAGCAGGAACCAGCCGGCCTCCAGAGCATGGCCTGCACAGCCAGACTCACGTCAGGGACCAGAGCACAGCCGGCCTCCAGAGCACGGCCTGCCTCCAGAGCACAGCCTGCCTCCAGAGCGAGGCCTGCAGTTCTGGGCCCTGGGCTCTGGGCCCACACAGAGCATGAGAGATGTGAATGCTGGGGGCTGTCTGGCCGGAGCTCATTCAGAAACACCCCCTTTGCTCACCTGAAGACGCGAATGGAAGAAAGCAAAAGGTTTGCTTTCCGTTTTCTTCCCTCATCGCCGAATTTTAGAGTTGCAAACAGGCATTTAAAGCCGAATGAAAAACAAGAGCCGTGATGGACTGCATCGAACGGGGTCTTTCAGGCCGAGAGAGGAGCAGAGAACGACGGCCCGCGCACCGGAGACGAGGAATCTGTCTCCCTCCAGCAGCCAGCCGAGAGGAAGAGCCCGGCCTGCGCCCAGGGGTTGAAAACAATCACGGGCAGAGCTGGAGGTGGGGAGGATGTAACCGGTCATCCGGAGACACGCCAGCGCCCGGCGGAGCCCGGCGAGAGGGACCTGCCGCCCTCACAGCCTCCTCACCTGGGTTCTGGTGTCGCCCCTGGCAACCGGGCAGCTCCTCCCCTTCCTCCGACACGTGTTCCAAGATGGCCGCCCCGTCTCTCTGCAGAAACGAGAACATACTCATCCGCTCCCGGTGATGTCCGACAGAACAAAACCACCGGTTTTCCTGGTATAGTGAACGAGACACTGAAATTGCCTGCTGTCCCTGAAAGAAGTTTCTGTTATTGCTGCCCGCTTTCTTGATGGCAGTGTGTTCAACTTATCTTATCAGAAATATACCTACATCTCTTTGGAGGCATCCCTGCGGGTTGCTAACAGCTCCCAGCTCGCACACACAAGCCCGCCTCCTGAAACAACGCCAAGTAATTTATTTCAATTAGAACAGGCAGCTAACAGAGAGCTGGGCCAGTAATTGGTATTGAAATGAATTACTTGGCAGAGCAGTAGAAAGGTAATTGGATACATTCCCCTCCCCCAGTCATCTCCTCTGTGCTGCAGCTCCCCACTGCTAACAGGCCCACACCAACACAGCAGGCAATTTCACACCCCAAGTCATCAGTTCAGAAAGCACTCGCACACGTGCACACAGCTGCGCATACACACTCACATACACACACACCTGCGCATACACACACACATACACACACACATACACACACACCTGCGCATACACACAGACACGCACAAACACACACCTGCGCACTCACACACCTGCGCATACACACTCACATACACACACACCTGAGCATACACACAGACACACGCAAACAGACGCATACACACACACCTGCACATACTCACATACACACACACGCATATACACACACAAGCATGCACATATATAAACACATACACACACATGCGCATATACACACCCATGCACACATATACACACAGACACACTCGAACACACAAGCCCATACACACAAACTCATCGGACAGTATGGAAGAAATAAAAAGGGCAGATAGAAAAGCTTCATTAATTATCCAGCACCATCACCAGATTGCTCTTCCGTCTGGAAGTGGTGATAGTAACATTGGTGAGAGTGTTTTCTTGGAAGCTGAGCCTGCCCCTCACCTACCCGAGCCCTGGGTAAGAGCTGGCCTCTCCCCATGCTGAGGCCTGTGCCCAATCTGTTCTCCTTTATCTGCTCGTCAGCATCTCCTCCATCTCTCACCTCTGTGCAGCTGCTTGCAGCTCGGAGGCCCCCATCTATAATCAGGCTTGCACCTTTTAAACCTCAAGTCTCGGCTATAAGGATTTATCTTTGTGTTGTGCTTTATTAATTTGTAACAAGGCTCTTAGCAACACTGATTTTAATTTCCTAGCAAGATGTTTGACAAAATACTCCTGGTCTCAAACAGCTCTTTACATTTTTATACAACGGGAGCGATAGAATAATGCAAAAAAACGATTGTAGAAAGATTAATCATGTGATCATGTAAATATTATATTTTGAGTTTCATAAATCTTTGGTACAATAAGGGCAAAGCAATCGCTATTGTGTAATGTGGAATGCATCGAGGGGAAAAATAGCTTCCTTACATCATCTTCAGTGCCTGTGATGATGATGTGGCTTAACAACACTAATTATATAAATTTACAAGCAGGCAGAGAGGAGAGAATGAAATGCTTGATCGTGGCATCTCTGTCTTCACAAGTCAAGCAGTCGCATCTACACAGCGATGTGGTAGTGATGTAGGTGTGAAAGGGCCTCACAGCTCACCTGGATGTGCTGTAGGGTCCTCTGCACACACCAGCGCCCCAGTTCACTGTACTTCTCTGCCAGGCTGGCCCTGCCCTCCGTCAGCTGCTCCACCAGGCACAGGAGCATCATGGGGATGGCCATGCTGTTGACGGGGATGTCCCCAGGCATCTCGGGACGGCCCAGGCCAGAGGGGTCCACTCGGGCCCAGTGGACTATCAGATCCATCACACGCTCGGCCTCCACCTGCCAGTGAACGAGAGGAGAGCCTGCCCGTCAGCATCAGAGCTGAATCTTCCCGACTCCCTGTCAGGACACCAGCGCCGAGAGCAGGTCGAGCAATCAGATCGTCACGAAGGCCACCACAGGCAGGAGTGGGATGAATCAGATAGAGGTGCCCCACCTGGTGCCTCTGTTCCCCAGTGACCCTGGCCAGCTCGTCCATGGCCAGGACATAGAAGCACTCGCTGAAGATGGTCCTCTGCACTTTCACTGCCCGGCCGTCCCGGGTCAGGCAGAAGGCGCACTTCTGGGAGCCACCCAGAGGGGGCGCCCATGCGTGGGACCGCAAGAACTCCCCACCTACCACAAGAAGACAAAGACGTGAGGAGTGGTTTCAACAACAAAACATTTCCTTACGCAAGTAAAAAAATTCATACTTATTTCAAAATGCTTTTAAGATGATACCTATAACTCATGGGATCTCTTAACAAACACACAAACTATAGGCACTGCACCACAATGATAAACACACAGGATATCGCTTATTTATAAACATAAAAAGTTCCAAATGTGCGAAGGGCATGTTAGCTTCAACAAAATGGCTGTGTATCTTGTTCCACAACCCGGGAGACTCCCACAACCATTCGTGTAAAAAAGTATCTCCTGCTCTGAGCTCGAAATGTGCTTTCACATAGCTCCTCTCCCACTCCTGGATCCAGGTCCCACAGTGGATACAGTGTTGCCCACACGGCTCTGTGCTGAAGTCCACATCCTCCCAGGTTGCGCCACCTTCAGGAGGCCTGAGGGCCAGCAGCTCAGCAGCTAGACTGATTGTAGGATGTGCCCGGCCCCCTCACGCAGTGGACTAAGATGAGGACGGATCTGCTGTGACGCTGGTCTGAGCCCCATTCCCTTTCCTAACCACGCGGCTCACCTGCCACAGCGGCCTCCAGGATCTCCGGCCTGCGAAACCGCTCCACCGTCCTGTACAGCCGGCAGTACATCCACACCTGCAGGGGCCGGAGAGGCAACGTGAGGCTCATGGGCTCGGGAGACGCTTGGGAGGAGCTCAAAAGGAGCTTGGGAGACGCTCAGGAGGAGCTGGGGAGGAGCTGGGGAGATGCTTGGCAGGCGCTCAGGAGGAGCTTGGGGAGACGCTTGGGGAGACGCTTGGGGAGACGCTTGGGGAGGAGCTGGGGAGGAGCTGGGGAGGAGCTCAAAAGGAGCTTGGGAGACGCTCGGGAGGAGCTGGGGAGACGCTCGGGGAGATGCTTGGCAGGCGCTCAGGAGGAGCTCGGGGAGACACTCAGGAGGAGCTGTGTCTTGAGGGGAGAGTCTCCCGGCACTCGGGAGGCGCTGGCTGTCTGGGGGGTTTTCTGTGCTTACTTCTTGTTTCAGCTCTCGATCTCGATCTGTTACTACCCCCATCTCACTCCTGCTCAGCCCGCTTTTCTGTTTTGGCCGAACTCTGTGCCTCCCTGCTTTTTCCTCATCTCTGTTTTCCTATTTCTTGTCTCTCTCTCCTTGAAAGATCTCCGAGCTCAGCGGGCCGTGGGCACTGCAGCAGCAGGACCGGGACCAGCCGGGTTTACCTGTCTTCCCTGGAGCCACACGTACTTCAGCTCATCGTACACCTGCCCCTCTCTTCCCAGGCAAGTGAAGAATCCCCTGGGGAAACAGCACACAGGCCGTCTCAATGAGAGGGACGGGAGGGCAGTGCGTTCCCGTTTTTCACAGCGACAAATTCATTCCCAGTTTCAGAGTTAGCTTTCAATCAATCCCGGGAACAACTCCCATTCTTTTCACTGCATGGGCTTTCCTGGAAATGAGCACATGAATCACAGATGGGAATTGTAACAAGAATGGAAACTGATTAGACGGGAACGGCAGATTGATTTTAACCAGCAGCCTGGACTGACAAGCAGGAAAGAACCGCCCAGTGCGCTGCCTTCATCGCAGACCCCTCCCAGCCTCCCCAGACCAGGGCGTCCAGCTCGGTCCCTGGAGGGCCTGGCGCCCCGAGCAGCCGGTATACGGTACCCATATTCCTTATCGTGGGAATGCTTCAGCCAGAATTCCACCACCCGGTCGAGCTCCGCGGCAATCTGGTCCCGAAAGCGCTCCAGCTTTCCCAGCATGGTGTTCTGCCAGAGAGGCACAGCCACGGTCCCAGAACGGATGGACAGGGGAAAGATGATGGAGAAGGTTAGGTAGGGAATCTGCGAGGGAGACGTCAGCACCTCAACCAAGAAGCCATGCGTCCCCTCCATCTCTCTAACAGACAGATTGTGCCCGAGTCTCTGAGTCCGCGGGTCTTGCGTCTCACGATGCCTCTGAGTCTTTCGTGCATATAGGGATAAAGGGACAGCATGTTCTAGTACAAGAGGCCCAACACGTCTCTGCTGTACCAAACAGGCAGAAAATGCTGAAGATCTCCGTACTGTTAATCTGTGATCTGCTGTAGACTGAACGGGTGGATGAGCCCAGTGGCCGTCTCTCATTTCCAACTCTTCTAGTGTTCCCGGATCGAATGAAACACCGTCTGCTACGGAAGCGCATTGCTGCCACCAAGGAAAAAACAATTCGCCCCCTTATATCAGAATTACGATAGCAATGCTGACGTCAGTGTATGGACATCCTGTTGTGTCGTGCAACGAACGCCTGGAGGAGCTACCGCGAGCTTGGCTGGCACTTTTGGTTTAATGATTGTGTCAATGTCCAGCGCCGCAGGATTTGCACAGATTACTATCTGATAATTACGAGACAATTCCTCATCTGGTAATGATGAGATCATTTTCTCGTAAAGACGAGATAAGGGCGAGGTTGTTTTTTTTTCCTTGGTGGCAGCCAAGCGCTCCCGTAGTCTGCCGATGCCTTTCAGGGAATTTCTTAAGCGTGTTCAGACAGTAATACGTGTTTTCATCACATTTCCACTCGCAGAAAGGGCGCACGCCGACTCCTGCGCCGGCGAGTTCACCCCGCGACAGTACTGCAAAACGACAGCAGAGGGCAGTGATCCACACAGCCGCGGGTTCTTTGCCAAAGATCCTGTATCTTCAGCCAAAACCCGTCTGCTATTTCCTTAATAACATTAAAACCTTATTCTTCATCTGTTTATCTAGTACTGCCACAACGGGCACTACTGCCCGTGTGCACAAGTGCATCTAACTTGTTAAGAAGTGTGGAATCTAAGGATGATTTTACTGTTCTCACGTCAGGAAATAGCCATTACTATTATTATATTACCACTGCGCACGGATCTTCAATATAATTATAATAATTATATTGAATAATGATATAATTATTACTATTACCGTACTTCAGATATCATCATTTGAATAAGCTCTCAAACGGATTATCATGACCACTATATTTGAGCTCATAATTTAAAAAACGAAACTCACTCCGAACTGCAGGGTTGCAGTGTTTTCTACAGAAAGTTTACGAAGGGGAATGCAAGCTCAGCAACTATTATAACACCACATGAACAATGGGAATGGGTTTTCTTTATAATCGTTAGCAACCCTAGTAAAAACAACAACAACAACAACAACAACAAAACAGCACTGAAGGTACTATTTCTTTGCATACTGTCGTTAAAAGAACAGCACAGTTAATAACATTCAGTTTACAAACCTGTCTTGATATTTGTGTCTAGCTGAAGCAGTTCAGACTTGATCCAGACTTGATTCAGATCATGTGATCCGATCCGGTCATAAGACTCCCCTCCGTCACGTGTGGAGGTCGCTGCGAGCGGCGGCACGTGGAGGAGACTAGACTACCATCCTGCGCTGCCCGCGACTTCAGGGAGAGAAGTTGTGCTTCTCTTGTGTACAGCAGTGTTATCAGGGATGAGGCTGTAGAAAAGCCCTTTTTAATCATTTGAGACGCTGTTGCTCTTCCCTCTGTCCCATTATTATGTAAACCAATACGCAAGTATGATGATATCAGGGACAGGAATGCTGAGCAATAGGAGTTTCCATCCTCCAGGAGACACATTACAATGACTTCCTGATTGCAGAATCGTTAAAGACACGGCACGGCACGGCACGGCACGTCACGGCACTGTGGCACCACAAGGAAACGTAGGGATGTTTATCCTGGTGGCTTGGTTCTGATTGCACCATTTGGACTCCCCAAGCTCCCACTTGATCCCACTGCTGCAGCAGTCAATTCAAGGTGCTTTGTTAGCATGGCCGATGGAAACAATCAGTGCTGCCGCCTCTCAGAGCAGAGCAGTCTCCTGTCCTCACCATGTGGTCCTTTCATATGGTGGACAGTAAGCACATAGAGGACTGTGTTGATTATTTAATTAAACAATCAGTGGGTCAACAAAATGGAACCCCTACCATCACACACATCCTATTTCGGTGGAATAAAATAGCTGAAAAAGTTAAAACTCAAGACATATTTGCATGGTGCACAGATTTTATTTCTTAAGGCCAGGTAACAGACACCTGTCAGGAGCTATAACGTTCAGCAAGAAGTCTTAACCTGAGGCTGATGAAGTAAGAAGAATTAAGCACTGAGTGCTGTTGGAAACTCAGCTGACAGTTTGCCATGCTTTAACAAGTGATCCATACTGAGGTAAATATCGGGGTTCCAACTGCTGTTTTGGGTTTTATTTGTACATTTGAACACAAAAACACTGCTCAGAGGAGCACAGCGAAACACACTAATTTCAGACAGCAGAAATAGATCATCCACAACACAGTTCAGTCTAGGCTGGGGTACTGTATGAAACACACAAGGACTTGAGATTATAACAACAATAAATACTCTCAGTTCAAATACTGTCTTGGAAGAATTTTGTTTTCAGAGTATGGAAGATCTAAACAAACAGTGAGAAGCTTTGTTCAGTAATGACCATAAAGCATTGATTCACCATCCTGAGATACACTAGTCCACTGCACAGAAAACACAGAAAAAGCTTCAGCAGAAAACTAAGAAAGTTGATCACGCACTAAGTCATGTGAAAATAGACCGTTTGGCAAAAACTCTTTCCCCTCCCTTACAGCCATTTTCCCTCTGTTCAGTGCTGGTTGTTTCCTGAAATTGTCTTAAATTCCTTCAGCTTGGAAGAAGGGGGTCCATATCGTCAAGGGACATCATGAGTGTGTCTCCCACTCTCCCCTGCCCTGAGGGATCGGTGAGTCTGTGCGTCCCTGAGTCTGGGAGTCCGAGAGTCCGGGTGTCTCAGTCTGGGAGTCTGGGAGTCCGGGAGTCTGGGAGTCCGGGAGTCCGGGAGTCTGGGAGTCCGGGAGTCTGGGAGTCCGGGAGTCTCAGTCTGGGAGTCCGGGAGTCCGGGTGTCCGGGTGTCTCAGTCTGGGAGTCCGGGAGTCTCAGTCTGGGAGTCCGGGAGTCCGGGAATCTGAGCTCAGACTGGCCAGGCTGGGCCGGGAGATTCTGCGCCAGTGCGCGGCTGGCGGGCGGCTCTTCAGGCCTGGGTGCCCGGGGGCTCCTTGGGACCGGTCTTCCTCAGGTTCTGTCTCACTTTCACAAGCTCGGGGACCTGGGTGTCCTCTCGCTCGTTCTCGCGCTGCCGTTCCACCTGCGGTCAGAAGGACAGCGAGGCCGCTGAGTAACTGCAGCACCTGAGGACAACAGGCTGTGAGGCTCAAGTCCTCCATGAGACTGCCTCTGTCTCTCCCACTGAGGGTTATTACAACCTGCTTGTGCCGAGTTTGATTCAAGTTGAGAGTTATTTCACTTTGTTGTTGTCGCTGCTGTTGTTCGGTTTTTAAGTTGGCGTTCCCTTCCATCTTTGTACTGGAGCACACACTCACACACACTCACACACAGACACACACACAGACACACACACAGACACACACAAAGACACACACAAAGACACACACACTCACACACACTCACACACACTCACACACACTCACACACACACACAGACACACACAGACACACACACAGACACACACAAAGACACACACAAAGACACACACACTCACACACACTCACACAGACACACACAGACACGCACACACACGCACACACGCGCACACACGCGCACACACGCGCGCACGCATACATACATGGTGCAAATAAGCATTTCATTGCACTTGCACATGAGACAGATAAACTGACCTCTGAACTCTTGAGACAGAGGACTCGAAGCTCTGAGACCTGGCCAGCCTTTTCTGTCCTGTCCGCTAACCCCTTCAGCCCCTTCTGCCCTTAAATCTGGCTTCTTTCTCTTCCTTTCATGAGCTGAGACACCACCAGGGAAGCTGAAATTCCCCTCCAGGACAAAGCCATGCAGATGAGGCAGAGCCCTGCTGCCTCACCTCCTGCTGCCTCTGCTGCCTCCGCAGCAGCTCCAGCTCCAGGGGGGTCCGGCCCTGCTCGCCCGCCTCCCTCTGCGTCCTCTCTCGCTGGCGCCTCTCCAGCACCAGCTGCAGCTCCGGCTTGCTGCTCACCCCCAGACCCCTGAGACTCGGACAGGGAGAGACAGGGCTGAGTCCGTGCCTCTCTCTGCCCAGGTGGCAACGTGCTGTCCTGGACAGATACTCTCACGCAGCAGTTTGATGAAGGAAAATCAGAAAGGAGAGTGCACACATTCATATCACCAAGCCCCACAGCCAAAATGTTGTGTTTCTTTTCAGCACGGATTGAACCTTTACTTGTTCCTTTGCAGACTAAACATGCTGATGCACCTGCCTACGTGAACTCTTTCAGAAGAGGATTTAATCGGAAGGCACAATGTCAGTGGACGCCTTCTCCTGCATTTCTCTGGACAGAATCATCGATCCAAAGCGCAGATCAGAGCAGGGGTTTCATCAACACTCCACACCCCTGTTGCAGCAGCCGCTGGTTTGATTCAAGCTGCATACAAACCGGAGACACGGGTCGTCTGCAAGCTCTCAGCAGGAGCAGGGAATGGCTTCTTGTTACAGAATCCACTTAAGAGCACTCTTCATTAATTTTAATAGCAATTCCATTCACTTATAGAGCGCCTGTACAAAGCATGTCAAAATGCTTCTCTTAGAGGAGGGGGCCCACTTTATCCACCAGTGAAGTGCAGCCCCCCCCAGAGTGATGTGGAGCAGCCATTCTCCACCAGCAGCTCACAGGGAGGAGCGAGTAAAGGGGACCTTCAGGGAAGCCCAGAGCGGAGTTTAGGCTGGACTCTGGGATTAACACCCTTACTCTTACAAACTATGCCCTGGGATCTTTAATGTCCAAGGAGTCCAGTCCAGTCCCTCGGCATAATATTTCATCTGAGGGACCTTCTACAGCAGTGTCCCCTGTCACCATACTGGGACACGGGTTTGGAAATGTTTGTCCAGAGGGGAAGAGCACCACCTACTGGTCCACTAACACAACATTTTGTCCGGCTCTATCCGGGTTTGAAGCCGACTGACCCACATGCCCAGCTAAGTGCTCTGGCGGGCACTCTGAGCCCTGGGTCTCGTCGGGAGAGCCCGAGTCCCAGCCCTGCAGCAGAGACACGTCAAAGCCAAGCAGGCAGCAGGAGGGGGGGAAACTGAGCTGGAGGGAGACAACGAGACTGGATGGGAGAGACCAGATCAAACGGAAGGAGGAACAGGCGAAAACAGAGAAGAGGTGAGCGAGGGGTGCAGAGACCCGAGGAAACAAGATGGAGAAGCAGAGAGGGAACAGGACATGCACAGAGGGGGACAGGGACGGACAGAGAGAGAGGGCTGTGGCTCCAGAGGAGGCAGGTGCAAGGGGGGGTGGAGAGATGGAGAATATATGCAGCCCGAACATGACGGTGAGTGAAAGGGTAGATCAGAAGTAACAGAATAAACAGGAGGGTGCAGAGGACATCATCACTCTTTAATGGTGACATGAGGATTTAGACACTAAACTCCAACGCCACTGACTGGGTGCCAGTGTCCACATCTCACTCAGGGCTGCCAGCCACGGTGCCCTGCTATGTACACCTCACAGCTTCAGGGAGACAGGGGCAGTAAGAGCAGGTGTTACCTTTCAGTCAGCAAGAGCAGACTCCACACAGGAGTTTTCTCTCATGTGTCTCTGGATGAAAGAATGGCTTCTGTCACCCGATGGCCCGAGACCGAGGTGCATTCATTTTTAATAACTTGGAAAGCAAGAGAGCAAGAGAGAGAGGGAATTTTCCACTCTGGAGGCGGCCCGCACCCCGTGTTCACACAGGGCTGGACAAGCCAGGAGGGATGGAGAAAGAGAGAAGGAGGAGACAGCAGCTGAAAGAAAGATGGAGAGAGAACGGAAGAGGGAACTTGGAAACTGGGGAAGGGATTGTTATTTCTAATAATAACTTTATCAATAAAGTGTCTTTACAAACCCAAGGATGCTGCACATAGTGAGAAATAAGAGAGAAAAAAAAACAAAAAGGAAAACAAAAATGAAACAAGCACATACAGGATAAACTGTAGGGCAATCAGACACAAGCCCTAGGAAAAAGCCGAGTTATAAGTTTAGATATGAAAAGAGTCAAAGAATTTGTCTCTCAGAATGTCAGAGGATGGACATTCCTTAACAATGGAGCAGCAACAGAAGAGGTCTGGTCACCTGAATTCGGAGATTAAGTCACAGGTACAGTGAGCACAAGGACCAGCCTCAGCTTCAGAGTTCAGAGGCCTATGATGGAGACAGATTACTTAGTGTCTTAAAAGTCAGTGACAAGGCCTTCTGTTGAACATGTGGCTTTTCAGGCCACCGATGCAGAGGTGAAAGTCTAGGAGTGATATGAAAAGAAGACACGGCCACTGCCTGTAGTGACATCATCAGCAAAACGTGTGGGTGATGTGAAAACAGAAACTGAAGACGAGAAAGTAAAAGAGACAGAGTACACCACCTGAGGCACAAGGCACGTGATACTGTGATACCGGCATACTGTCAGTCCGGGTTAATGAACACTGTCCCAACACTCTGGTTGTCCACGGAGGCTTCTGGTTTCTCTTCACAAGCTCACACGGCATGAGTCTTAACGAAGTCCCACAATGCCCCTCTCCCCCTTACTTCCTGTGCGCCATGAGGAGCTCCTTGTGGAGTTCCTGGTGGGTCCTGGAGGCCTTGATGGGATTGGCAGGTTTGGTGGGCGTGATCGGGCCGAGAGAGCTGATTGGTCCTGCGGCACCAACACCTTCCTCTTTGGTGGCGCAAACTGCAAGACAGACAGGTGTTCTAAATCTGATCTGAAACAATACACGTCATCTAAATAGGTAAAAAGGTCCATTATTTATAAATCATTGCTGCCTGTTCTAGATTTACGTGTTTTTGGATGACTTTTAACGATAAATTGTAACATAAAGCCTTGATGGTGCAAATGTAGTATTATTGTCATTATTTACTCGCTTGCATGCAAAGTGTCTTACAGTAAGACTACATAATATATAAGTGACCATTATAAATTCATAGATGCAGTAATTATATTGGCCTGGGTTCCTAAGGTTTTTTTAGAAAAGCAAAAGGTTCATGAATGAGCCCTTGTCCCCCAGAAAGAGAGCACCGACTCAGCATGAGGGATTAATAAAGACACTCATGAGAACAAGAGAAAGGTCACGAGACGAGAGGGGGTTGTTCCACCCATCCTGCACGGTTTTTGTTGGTGATTAATTTATGATCCGTTCATGATCTGACACTAGGAGCACATTGTTTTCTGACCATGCAGAAACAGCTGATTTCCAGGCTGTCGGTGAGCACCCAGGGCGAGGAAGGGGGGGACGGTGAGTCTGGGCGGGAGGGCGTATTAAATTGAATCTGTTTTTGTATCCTTTTGCAACCGTAGCGGTTGTACCGGGTTCAACACTTTGAAACGCGGGGAAGCTGTCCTCCCAGCGGCTCCTCTCTGGTACAGCGTCATGGAAGAGCCTAGCGCCTGACAGGGTGGCCAGGCAGTCGAGGCCTTCTGGCGAAGCTGCAAAGTATTCTGGGTCTCAGGAAGTTCTGGTTTCATCGCCTTCTCCTCCGGTGCTACAGCGCGGCCCAAGAGCTTCACGCCAGAGGCGGAGGAGGAGAAGGTGGGGTGCCCCCGGATAGTGTACCCCCCGTGTGCAAGGGCAGGGAAGGGGCTCACCGCTGGCGTCCCCCGCGCTGTCGGGATTGCTGGACGCGTCCCTCATCGCGCTGACCGGCTTCAGCGAGCCCAGGACCTGCAGCTTCGCCTTCAGCCACAGCTCGTGCTGCATGCCGGGGCCGCACACTGCCGGGAGACATGCAGCGCGGGCTCTTCCCTCTGCGAGGTCTGCAGCGGGTCGGGAAGCTCCCAGCTCCTTCAGGGACACAGGGAGACCACAGGACAAACACCAGCAGGGTCTGTGAGAGGACACAGGGCTACAGGACGCATGGGGGCAGAAATGAGAAGACCCTCATTTCTTCACCACGGATCTTAGGTAACAACCGCAGGAAAAACAGGCCTGCGATTTAAAGGCTTTGGACAAAGTTCATCCTACAAAGAATAAAACCCACTCTGAGTCCAGGCAGACATTATCTGCCCCCCAGGGGACATAACCCATTAACAAACAGATCTGAGGGCGAGATAAACACAGTGTGCTGGACAGAGTCATTATACAGTGCAGAAACATAGCCGTGACAAGAGGTCCGCCCCTGAGTCTCAAGAGCAGGCGCCTCATCCCCTCCACATCAGACTGTTACCAGGATGAGACAGGGAGGCAGTGAGGAGCAAGGTGTCCAGCATTCCTCAGTCTCCTGTCAAATTCAAGTTCCATTTCAAAAAGCTTTATTGGCATGACTGATGAAGTGCCAAAGCAATAACAATTAGCAAGACATTCACAACAACAAAAAACATATCGCACACTGTATTATTATTATTATTATTATTATTATTATTATTATTATTGAGAGACAGGCTCACCGTTCCTCAGGCTGGGACAGGAGATCACACACTGTTTTATTATTATTATTATTGAGAGACAGGCTCACTGTCTGTTCCTCAGGCT